CCTTATTAAGGTATGGATATCCTAATTATGTATCATGCATTATTATTTAGATCTGTCCATCATGTCTAAAATGAACCTTTTGACAGAATGACTTACTCCAATTTGAACATTGTTGATTATTAATTTCAGTGATATACCAGTGATGCGGCTGGGAGAGAAGCACTGGGATCTCCTGGAGTCCTGCTTTGGCTTCCACAGTTGGGGGGCAAAGCTTGATTCAGAGTCCCCTGGGACAATGTAAATATTGTTCATAGGTGTGAATGTGTTTTATTTGTTTTGTTATTATTCGGCTGTGTTTTGATCTGTTGTTTTAATTATCTTTATATATTACTTTATATATATATTATATATATATATATATATATACTTTTTTTCCCCCTTTCTTATGTTCATATTGTGTGAATGAATACTATAGCACTAGTACCAATGCCCTTCAGTGTGGCAGACTATTAATACTCAATAAAAGTTAAAAAATAAAAATAAAACAATTTCAGTGATATTTCTAGTGAGAAATTGTATACCTTTATTCACGGTTCTATATTTCAACAATGCAATCACCTACTCTGGAATCAACTTACTCACTGTCTATATAGATATTATAAATGTTTCAACTAGAAATATCACTTAAATGACTTCTTTCAAAAATGTTAAAACTGGAGTTAGTCATTCGGTCAACTGAAAGGCTCAAATATTACCCCACCCTTAATAGAATATATTCGCGGGCGGTGCGGAAAGATCAAGTGTGTGGTCTTGCTACCAATTCAGTTAGAAAAAATTACTTTTTTGAATTCCCTTTATTCCTTCAACGTCGTAAATTACACTTTATTTGAACCAATCATTCTTTCCATGGCCATTCAGGGGATTGTAATATTGCTGCTGTCGGGGATTCAGACTTTTTATCGCTTTTGCTTAAAGCTTTTATCGCTTCTCACTAACATCAAAGAAAGAGTTAATGATCTGACGGTGATAAAAAATTAATGACCAATGATTCACAGTTATATTCCTCCAAATTTATGACCCTCTCATTTGTTCGAGATCTAATTTTATTCCATTGATCTTATTGGGCTCAAAGAATATCTCTAGGCCCTTACACCTTTGAGAATGTCCGAGTTCTCTTATTTAGGATCTCAAATTAATAGCAGCTGCCAATCGATGCTATTTTGGCCTACTTAAACACATGATAAGCTCACTACTTAGTAGACGAACGAAGTTGCATCTCTATAAAACGCTCATCCGGCCTGTTCTTACCTACGGTAGCCAAACATGGACCTTAGCCTAAAACGACGAAAAAGACCTTCTGGTCTTTGAAAGGAAAATCCTTTGAAGAATATTTGGCCCTGTAAAAGAGGGACTGCATTGGAGAATTCGGAAGAATAGAGAGGTCTACGAATTGTTAAATGAACCTAATGTGGCAAAAATGATAAAATTGGGAAGGTTAAGTTGGGCAGGACACATAGTTCGGATGGAGAGGTCTGAAATCCCGATAAGAGTGCTTGAAGAACCATTATACTATACAAGGAGAGCTGGCAGACCGAGATTGAGATGGGCAGATGGTGTGGCAGATGGCACAAGATACTTGGAGTCAGGAATTGGAAAGCGGACGGACAGAATAGAGAAATTTGGCGGAAGCTCATTGAGGAGGCCAGGACCCACTAAGGGTTGTAGAGCCATTAAGATAGACAGATAGATCTTATTGGGCTCAGTTCAGTCAGTCTCCATCCATTTTCTGTTACTTTCTGTTACCTGAATACAGAGAGCTTGCTATTTGGGTCTTATCAAATCTTGATCATGAAGATGAAAATAAGACCTTTAAGAACGACAAAAGCAATACGATTTTCGGACCCATATCATCCTCCAAGACCTATTCTTTATGTCTTATTAGAATTTGTTTTGAAACAAATTAAGAACTCTTAGAATTTCCATGCGCGAGATAATTTTAACTGCTTACGTTTCAAAAAATTAACAGATATCAGATTCCCTCCAGCAATTCATCATTACTAAGACAGAAAAAAATGATTATCACATCAATTACATTATAGATTTAGTACATCCCCCCGCCTTATGCATCAATCTTACATCACTCCAAGACTTTTTAAATTGTTGATGTAAAGTTATTACTATATTAGTGAAAAGTTGTTATTTACAGAAATTTGGGAATGATCTCAGTATTAAAAATTAATAGAAGAATTGAGTTTTTTGCAGACCAGATCTTTTTAACAAATTTAATATTCAATCCAAAACGGTAACCATCGGTACCATCATAACGATACCATCATAAACGGTAAAAGTTCCTTACCACTGTTGAGAGTGTTGACCGCAGAGTCCAATCTACTGCTCTGGCAGTGGACATGGACTCCTTGGAGGAGGACGATACACAAGACGACAGCGAAATAGAGCTTCATTCTCAGATGGAGTACTGAACGACACCTGGCCATAGAAACTATTATATAGTGAACAGGTGTTAGCATCACAGCGCACTTGTGTCAATGAGAGTAATATTTGACCGAGCAAATAGAGACATAACCTGGAACAATAAAGATGATACGTCCCTTTTCGAAGGTTATTCCTGTTCGCTCTCAAACAAACAATACAAACACAGCTTTTGTTCTGGAGCAGTCTGACTGATGTGAATGAGGAGTAAAGGGTTTAAGCTATCCACATTATTGATATTTTTCTAAGCAATTCAAGCATCACCATTGCAAGTTTTAAATGTATAATCGTAACTCATCCACAAATACCTAGTAACTTCAGGAAATTATATTTATATTATATTAAACATTAAACGCCTCTTGTCCCGGAACTTAAAAATTAGAATCTATAAAACAATTATCTTGCCTACAGTTCTTTATGGATGCGAAACTTGGCCGCTTACACTAAGGGATGAGCAGCATCTTAAGGTTTTTGAAAATAAAGTATTGCGTAGAATATTCGGACCGAAGAAGGATGAGTTAACCGGAGAGTTCAGACGGTTACACAACGCCGAATTGCGTGAACTGTATCCGGGTAATATAATTGAGGTAATTTCGTCGCGGCGAATCAAATGGGCTTGTAAAGTTGTTGGGCTTAGTAATGAGAGAATTCCTAAAAGATTAATATTTGCTGTGCCGAATGGTAAGCGTCCGAGGGGTAGACCGAAGCGAAGATGGGAAGATTGCATTAAAGCCGATCTGAAGGTACTTGGTTTGGACGGCGAACGGTGGAGGGAGGTGTGTAATAAGCGATTGGTGGTGTCGGCATCGAACCTTCGGGTTCGCTAAGCCTTTTATTATTATTATTACTAAACATTAAAATAATCTACAATTATCAGTATTCGCCCCGCTTAATAGGTTACAGGGAAAGTAGATTTTTCGAAACACCCATTAACAAACTTGTGATAACAAAACATATTTGTGATGATTATTTTTTAATAATAAAAATAATATATCTTTAATTCTCTGCCTCAATGCAAGAGCAACTATTTTTATATTTTTTGTTTTGTTAAATAGATAATTAAAATCAAGAAACTTTTAATGTACATTATTACAAATTGGAATTGTTAATAATTTCCTTTAATAAAATTTATTATTTTATAAGCTTGACTCATGACATAATTATTTAAAGGTTCGATTCACTTTGTTTTTTTCTTAATTTTTATTTGAAGTTTTTATTTTTATTTTTATTAAAAGTGGGTCAGAATGATAGTAAAGTCAGATTTCCCTTTTTTCAGGTCAATTTTTTTTAAAATTGTATTTAATGATTTAAGTAATTTATCTATGTATACTTTACAAGTATAGAATAGATGCTTTAATGGTGTATGCGTAACATATATATCATCGAAGCACATAACATCGACTTTCTTAAGGAAAGAAAGAAAAGTAAATTCTACTCTGGGAGATTAAGTTAACTCAACGAAAATGAACAATGAAAATTACATTTATCTTTCACAAAATGGCGATTAAAAAATAATTAAATTTCAGAGTTATGAAATGTTAAAATTAAAACAAAAAAGAAGCATAACTAAATAAATGGAATAGTGAAATTATAGATAAATAATATCAGTTGGTTTAGATTTTTGCACTGTTATGAAATATAAATGTAAATAACTATTAAAAAATAGCTAAAATATAAAAAATTAAATTCTTATGTATATTCAAAGGTTAGATAGTTAATAAGATGGAATAATAATTGGTTAGGAATGTTTTGAGGATGGTTAAATTAAGTTAAATATGAGGTTTTGCATATACAGATGAGTTACAAATTCCAAAACAATGGAGCCCGCGTGTTTAAGATTTTTTTTTTTTTGTGTTTAAGAAAAGAGTTCTGTGAAAAGCAATATACAGTTCGTGAGCCAGGAGAACGTGTTTAAAGAATGGATAGGAAGAACAAGGAGTAAACAAATTAAAAAGATAAGTATATTTTTCGGTATTAAAGGTTCGTAAAATGAATTGGACAGAGATGGAACTCGGCATACCAACTAAAGAATTGGGAAGCCCATGAGTAATCAAAAGATGGATCTAATGGAACAATTTATTAGTTTCTTCAGTCTATTCTAATGTCCACCAGATGGTTCGCCTTATAAGGCCGTCATAATCGAAGTGGGGAAAATAAAGAGAAGAAACTAGTAGCTGACTGAGGAGCTGTTTGAGGGTAGCTATAGATTTTAGGATAATTTATGAAAGAAGGTTATTTCCTGATAAAAAGCTCTCTGGGCAAGAATTAAACATGACTTACTGCATTATTATTCTAACCCACTCATCAAATAATCTCTCGTTCTCCATCAATCGTACCGAAGTAACTACAAATTTGACGTATTATAAGTATAATAAGCATAGAAAGGTTTTGGACTATTCGATATAGGTGTGTGTTACCATTACATCTTCGGATGTTAATCATCGTTATACGTTAGACTAACTATGTAGGAAGCCGTTTTGAAGATAAAAAGTATTTGTAATACAAAATAAAACAAATTGATATTTGGTTTGTTAAATAAAAATGCAGAGAATATGATTATAAACAATTTATTATAATTTGACCGTACATGAAACAATTAGCGTCCAGCCCACTGTTGCCAAATCCTGCCTGGGACTGTGGGCTGTGGTATCGAAGGCAAGGCCGGGACCTGCAAGGTGCTGATGAAGTTCTGCAACTGGTTCAGTCTGATCACGGCATAGTTGAGGTATTCCCTGGTGGTCTGTAGGAGGTTCCTCAACAGTGTTCCGCTTCGGTATTGCTGGTAAGCTAGGGCAAGGATACTTCTGTTTTAGCAAAATTAGACAAACAAATTAAAAATAAATAAATGATATTTATATTTGCCGACGTTTCGGCCCAAAGTTCAGGCCTTCATCAGGGCTAAGAAAAGACCAAATAACGATAGGTAAGAGAAGCTATTAACTTATGAAAAAAAAAATATGAATTTTAGGAACATATAAAAAAATCTGGTGCGCGCAACACACAACTTTCACTTACTTCTCTACTTTAGACAGATTATTTTCATGAGATATTATAAAAATTTTGAAGTGCATTTTAATTGGAGGTAAAGCTTACAGATAAAAAACCATTAAGACCATTAAAATTACAAAAATACTATTTATTATTTATATCGACAATAAAAATCTAGTTTTATAAACCGCATAACTTCAGTCTCTGAGCCTTTCAGATGACAGATAAATAACTATAATTTTAACATTATTGAGTAATGTCATTTTAGTGATATTTCTAGTTGGAAAAGTTATATCTATACAGACAGTGAGTAAGTTGATTTCAGAGTAGGTGATTGCAGTGTTGAAATATAGAACTGTGAATAAAGGTATAAATTTTGCCACTAGAAACATCACTATTGGAGTACTGGCAATGGCCAGATTCTCCACTCAAGACATGAGCGTCTGTTGCTGTAGTGCCCTACATCAGTTCCCACTGGTTTCAAATAACAGTGTCGCGGCTGAGAGAGAAGCACTGTGATCTCCTGGAGTCCTGCCTTAGCTTCCACGTCAGGGAATAAGGCATGACTCAGAGTCCCCTGGGTGAATGTAAATATTGTACATAGGTGTGAATGTAATTTATTTACTTTAATTTCATCTAGCTTTTATCTATTATTTCATTTTTTTTTTTTTTTTTTTTTGCACACAGGCATACCAATTTTCTTATTTCATTTTTTTTTATATTTCTTTCTCTTTATTATTGATATTAATTGTATGAACATATTGTGTGAATAAATCATGTAGCCCTGATATCAATGCCCTTCAATGTGGCAGAATGTATTAATATTCATTAAAGAAAGATTAAAAAAAAAAAAAAAAAAGAAACATCATTAAAATTTATAATAATGAATGTTGAGATTGTAGTTAGTCATTCTGTCATCCGAAAACCTCATATATGCCTAGAGAGGTTTGAAAGTATATCTCAATATTTAACCCATAAATAATTATGGATTGTAGGACTATTATTTATTAAACTGTTGTTTTTCATTGTTAAGTTTAGTTAAACAAAATTACAAAATTTTCATTGCCTTGCCGTGAATAGGTCAAAAGTTGTCTTAGTAATTGTAAGTGGATAATGTTGGGATTTCACAAACGGAAAATTCATCAAATTATTCACTAATTTAGTTTTCTAAAAGGTTACTTGATGATTTTTTGGAATAGACGGCCGAAATATATCTACTTATTTAAATATAATATCTTATCTAGAGTTAATACTCTATAGTAAATATATTTGAGGTTATAAACGTATCCATGAAATGTTTTTATACTTCACTTCTTCTTTTAAACAAGTACTATGAAATAGTATTTTAAATAATAGCATTGACTTGAGTAGGTGGATTATAAATACTTTTTTTTCAATCTTAGAAAAACATTTAAAAGTTTATATATAGTAAGGAAATTACATTTAATTTCCTTGAAAACATTTGATTTACGTTAAATAATATTAGTTTAAAAACAATATTATTTACATTTATTTCCAGCTCGTTACCTTTTACAACTTTCTATATTAGATATTGTTTTTTTCTAAAATTCTCCGCTTTCCAACGATATATTATATGTATACCTTCTGACTAGTATTTCCGTAGATCTTTTTTCGATCTGGATAAGCATTTTTATTTTTTCTCCTTTATTCAATTATCAAAATCTTTCAAAAGTTATATTTAGCATTTTTTCGTAACTGTTAACAACGTGAGATGATTAATTATTTAAAATAAACCATATTAAAGTTTCGTTAGAGTTAGCCGTATATGAACATTGGGCATTTAAGCCCTGTAAAGTGACATCTATGGGATAAGACCTGATTGATATTAAATACCACTTTATTATACAATGATATACCGAGTTTAACCAAAATCGTTAGAACATTTTTGAGAAATTTATAAAAATGTGTTTCAGCGTTGATATAAAGTGGCAATTAATTTAACGAAAAAGTTGATATCACATTTAAAGCATATACCTATCTTAAATATGTAATATCAGTTTCGTACGACTTTTTGTTTTTGTTTCTAGACTGCTAGAACACACAGACTTGGGTATTTGGACTCAAAGTACCTCAAAACGTGTAAATCCGTTGAAAACTCAGACTTGAAAATGTTCACGATCGCAATACTTATACTTATAATTATACTATATATTTCATATATAAGTAGGTGAAAGTAAAAAAGTTAAGATACTATAAAATATATCAATCAATTTTACATTCATAAAAATTTTAGGAGGTATCTAATCCATGAACCGGAAAACGCAATGGGATTCTAGTTTATTTGTCCCGGCTTGATATTGCATCTGTTAGAACTCGAGTGGAGCAATTCAAAAACATTAAAGACGAAAAACATTCTAACTAAACAAATATTCCACGATATGAAAGGACACGGGCGGATCTACGAGGGAAGGCATTGGGGCTGAAGCTCCATCCTCTCCCCAAAATGGTAAAATATCACCATGTTTTATGGAAAACAATATTAAAAAATTATCTCTTAAAGTATTATTGTTCGTTTAATTACATTTAAAAGGACTTTAGGAATCACTTAAACACCATTTCATATAGGTAGTTAGTTTATTTATTTTTTTCCAAAGTAATTATCGTTATTTTTATGAAAAAAAAAAAAGCTTTCGAGCTGAACCCCCTCCCCAAATTAAATCCTGTATCCGCTAGTGTGAAAGGATGATTCTCGGAACAAATTTGACTGAAGTTTTGGAAGCACCATCCACGAATAAAACAAAAACAAATGCAATCCTTGAAGTGTCTGGGATTCAGTACTTCGAACCCTAAGAAGTTCTATTTCTAAGCCAACGGTTGTACAAGAAGGTGATCAGGCCAATATCACGCTTGGCCGCCAGTTGTTTCATCAGTTAATTGCAATTACTTATATGAAATAATTATCTGCCACAGTGGGACTAGCGGTATATAATGTCTTACTCACTAAGCTTCCCCAGCTTTCTCATTCCAATGCTTGATCGATATTTTTATTTCGGCGTCGATATATTTCTTAAATTGTCCGTAAATCCATTAGCTTTGTGAGAATTTTAAATCAGGACTCTAATCTTAAGGGCAAAATTCTTATAGAATACGATTGCAGTGGCCAATACGGATTTATGAATACATTGACAAATATTGACTCACGAGTGTGACCGTGATAGCAGAGGAGAACAATTCAGGAAAGTGAACTTTATTTACCCAGGTAAGACATACCTAGTTTTTTTAGAAACAAAAACTTCGATTTTATTTTATTAAAGGTAATAAATACTTGGTAAACTTTCTTGCAAAATTTTAATTATATTCTGTATTTTTTATTAATTATCTAAAAAATAATTGAATGTTTTGGAACAAATCTGTGCCATTAAAGAACAAAACAATTAACGATTTTTAACTATACAGGGTTTTCTCGGGTCGGGGAGTGAGGGATTAATGCCAGAGTTAAAAAAGAGAGAAATTATCTGATGCATGCTGGTTTGGCCCTGAAGATAGCCAACACAGTTAAGCCGAAATCTTGTGTCTAAGAATAATTTGAACTCAAAACATATTGTCCCCTAGACTAAATAATAATTATAAAGTGTTACATTCGACCACACATCATTTTTAAGTTCGAGATAAGTGTTATGCTGTAAACCTTAATAATAGTTGCATAAAATCTTAAATCCTTTTCAGAGAAGCTTCAGGTTGCTAGAAAATGAACAAAACGTGATCTTAAACGTTTGATTGTATCTTTTTAACTCAAATTTAACAGGTGAATTTCTGGAGAAAAAGAAGCACGATTATTTCTTAGAAGTGTATTGCCTCGATACGGCGGATTCAACAAGATTCGTGGATATTTTAGCATATAGTGCGATAGCAAAGGAGACTCTAATGGGTAGACCATACGATAAGATTCTAAACGACTATGAGAATGAAGACCGCAAGACGTAACTAGAGACAGAGAACAACTATAAAAATGTCTTTCTTAAATTGGAAAAGTGAAAACAGGAATTTTAAGGAAAGTAGGAGAAACAATTTTCGAATCGGTTAGTAAGGTTCCAAAGTAGGGGAACTATTCCTCTTTCAACATGTAAGTTTTTGGAAAAGCTGTGTTTTGATAGAAGAGGACGTGCTAACTAGGCACGTTGGGGCGATGGTCCCAGGTTATTCTAAAGGTACAACCTAAACCAAAACCTATTCTAACCAGATAGGGAAGGTCGAAATTTATTCCGCGGATCAGCCACAAAATAAATTTCAACCCGTCCAGGACGGATTCGAACTGGCGTTGCAAGACTCCACCATGTTGAAGTTTACGCTTTAGCCCACTCAGCCATCATAACCTCGACATTCCCATTATGGTAAATTCTTCTTTAGTGTATTTTTTTGTTCTTAAATATTATGTAATTGACTGATGCGTATGGTGTGTCAATTTACAACCCATTACAGTTGATTAACCCAGGAATTGTATTGTAGATTGTTTTATAAAATACATCTTCTACAAATTATGACTGGAGTCTTACAATAAAATAATTACAGATTTTTTTAAATATAAAAATAAGATAAATATTCAAAGATTATTCTTACCACTGTTGATAGTACTCATGGCCGAGTCCAAGTAACTGCTCTGGCAATTAACATGGACTCCCTGGATGAGAACGATGCAGAGGACGGCGATGTAGAGCTTCATTTTGGTGGAAAAAACTGAACTGGACATACCCTCCAAGAAGTTCCTTTTTATATCCAGGCCTATGGAGCACTTGTGTCAATTGTGATGTAACCCATCTATGGAACAATAAGGCAGAATAATGGAATCCATGTTTGTTTGAAGGTTACTCTTTTGGGCCCTATAAACAGACTGTACAAATATTGTCTCCACTTCCAGTCATTTTCAGTGGCTACAAGAGTGGTAGAGAACAATGGAACAACGAAACATGGAATTAAAAATCAGCAGACGTGAGAAACTTATTTTACTCAAAAAACTTATTAATGTAAACGAACGATAATTTATTAAATAGTTTTACTGAATTAGTGACACTCAATATCCATATCTGATTGTTAGTCAATTTTAAGCAGAACTTCATTTAATTATTTATTACTAACAATTTAAGTTATTAACCGTCAAGATACATCGTTCTTTATACACATTATTCATTTATTTTTAAAACGGAATCAAATAACGTTAAATGTAATCAACAGATTATTGAAAATTAAACGATGCACAAATGTTAAATCGGCATGGAAAATGATTCATGTCAATAAAATGTCTACCAAGTATGGTCATTATAGTTTCCTCGCCGTTTTTATACAATACACAATTACCTATATTTCAAGGTCTATGATTTCTTGTTCAGGAATAAAATATACAAGAGAAACCATTTTTGAAGTATAGTCTAGAAAAACGCATGGCTAACCAAAGAACTGGAGGAATCATTATTGAGTCATCTAGGTGATAAATGCAGTATGTGTTAAGTCCGTCAGATTGAATCGATAACACAGTTTAAATTGAATTTTCAAAAACCATTTTAACCTAATATGTAGATTTAACCTCCCCTTCCATATGTTCACAGCCTACCAAATTTAACAGCCATTTATTCTTAACGATCAGTTCATTAACATTAATTGTTGTATGGAATTTGATGAAATTGACCTCACAACATTTGTAAACTAATCCCCAATTTGCCCCAGCTTTTACACAAATCGAACAAACTTTGTTCAAATATAGGTGTATCGAGGAGTTGACATACCCTAAACCGAATGCATGTTTTAAAAGTAATGGAATTTGATAAAATTGATAATCATTGTCCAATCTGTACTTTTTATCCACTCTCAAACAATTTAGAGTTTCTAGGTACAGGTGTCACAAGAAAAATACGTTTGTGCAGATGTAAAGAAAGAAGTGGATAGTACGATCGTAACTAAAATACCAATTATTTTGTGTTACTAAAATACATTTTAAATATTTACAACTAAAGATAAGAAGATTACTAAATATTTAAATTTAAATTAAATAATTAAGTAATTTAAAAGTTATTAGTAATTGAAATACTATGTGATTAAAATTGTATTTTAGAAAAACAAAATACATGTTATTGTAAGTAATGGATTTTAGAATACTTTTCGCCCAGATCTTTTTAGGAGACAAAAAATATGGTAAATTTTAAGTAATTTGTTTTTTTAGCTTAACTAATAAAAAACATGTTACACGAATACTACTCGAATATCTTCCCTACCTTCGACAGTAAGAAAGTAATTTTAATGCTTTATCACATCTAGACCACTTACGGATAAGCCCTTGCCATGTCTTTATATTTCCTAATACAGAAAAATAATCTATGGAAATTGAATGTAATTTTAAACTATAATCAAAACGAACGTAAATTATAAGCTTTTAAGAAAGATAAAAAAACTTTATTACGCTAGTTGGTAGTGATTGCATAATAGTTTATGCATGCCTTGTTACAATTAGATTAGTTTGGCTCATTAATCTGTTCAATTTCGATGTCAGATTAAATTAGAAAACACAAATACAAAAACTTTTTTTGTATTAATATTTTACCGTATTCATGCAAAGAAATTTTCAGAGTTCCGAACAGCAAAATCTCCTTGACACGGGAACTTTTGGTATTCAGTAGGGTCCAATTTATCTTCAAGATTTTGCTTATCTTACAAATAAGGGCGTTTACTTTTAGATTAAAAGATATGACCAGTCGGAAAGAAAAATGGCAGCATTTTGCCTACTGTAATTGCATTGAAGTTTCAGTGACCCAAATGGTCTGTTTCTATACATAATAAGGATGATTATTCGGAAATACTGGACACGCAGCTTTGTAGACACCTTAATTTAACACCTCTATAAAGAGTAAATAAATAAAAACTCCTTAGAGGTTTTTATTTTATAAATTGAGTTCTAAATTTTTTAGGAAGGTATAGTTTGTGTCATTTCGTGTAGTTTATAAGGCTCTATATTCTTGCAAAAGTTCGTGTGGATATTTGGAAAAATATTGAAGTTATAACACTTCCTTAGGTCAAATAAGTAGGAAAAAAATTTTATTTTTCGATCGCAATGAAAATTCGTATTGGAGGGTCTTTCGAGCTGCGAAATACAAATCTCAACTCCCTTCCTCCTTAAAAAAATTATTTAAACACACTTTACTCCTTCCGTAAATACAAACTGTTTAAAGTTTGCATATTTCTATCGATTTTTACAAATTTTTTTTTTGTAGATCATTTACTAATCTTTCTAATTATCATGGGTACAATCAAGAAATGCATACTTTTTGAGTTATTCGCAAATAAAGTTTCTTTTCCTCAATAACTTTTCCAGGGGGGATCAATCCAGGGGATGGGACTATTTTTCGCATGTGAAGTAAAAGAATATCTTCAAAATGAGTGGCCAATCATTGGATTTGATGAAGAATTGACGAAGTTATGGCGTACCAACAACAAAAAATCTTTTAGAAATAATATATAGGATTATTTGGATTGCAGAGGTTTCTACAAACTGTAACGAATCGACCATTTATCTTGTCAAGAACTGCAAGAGATTTACCCGGTTACAGATATCAATGGTTTACCGTTGAATCGAAAGAACTTCCTAAAAGAAGAGATAATCCATAAATGAATGAAATTAAAACTTATTGGTTTTTACAATGAAATTGTCTTTTCTTCACTCTGTTCCACTATTTCGATTTATTTTATTCATTTACTCTACTTTTGCAACAACACATCAAACATGCCAAACGAATTAATTTTTTTTAAGCTTAATTTTCATGTTTACCTATATTAATAAATCAAGAGACATCAATTCAAATGGTCCGTTCTAATTACGAGATTTCCATTGTCTGCCATGGATAGGTCAAAAGTTGTCACATTAATTGTAAGTGTTTAATGTTGGGATTTCACAAAGGAAAAATATATCATATTATTCACTAATTTAATTTCCTAAAAGGTTACTAGATGATTTTTTGAAATAAACGGCCAATAGATACCTAATTATTTAAATGTAATATCATAACTAGAGTTATTAAACTACAACAAAAGTATTTAAGGTTATAAACATATCCTTGAAATATTTTTATCTTTCAATTCTTCTTTCACACAAGTACAATTAAATAGTATTTTAAACAATGGTATTGGCATGGTACGGTGGATCTTAAATACTTTTTTTTCAAACTTAGAAAACACTTTAAAATGCATTTTTGTTTCATACATTTACAAGTGAAGTTTCATACATTAAGTTACATACATTTAGTAAGAAAATTTCATTGGAAACATGTGATTTACGTTAAATAATGTTAGTTTTCTGAAATTATTTTTTTTTTTTTTTTGGTAATCCTGCATTTCCTTCTATTTAATATTATTTTTTTCTGAAATTCTCAGCGTTCCAACGATATATTATACGTATACCTTCTGACTGTTATTTCCGGAGATTCATTTTCAAACTGGATAAGCATTTTTCTTTTTTTCTCTAGTTTCCAATTATCATATTCTTTCAAACTTCATATTTAGCCATTTTTATAGTTACTGTCAATAAAAGAGAGTTAGTATTTTCACTCATAAACCATAATTAAACCTAAATAAACCATATTAAAAGTACTTTAAAGGAAGTGTTATGCGAACATTGGGCATTTAAGTATGATATTAAAGATCACTTTATTATACAATGATACACCGAGTTCAATCAAAATCGTTAGAGCCGTTTTTGAAAAAATTGTAAAAATGTATTTCATCGTTGATATAAAGTGGCACTTCCGATTAGTCGATTTTAAGGGAAAAGTTGCTGCAACATCTAAGACACATACCTATATTAAATACGTGATATCAGTTTCGTTCGACTTTTCGTTTTTAAGCTAGGCTGTTCAAATATATACACACACACAAACACAGACCATTTGGCGGGACTCGGTTATTTGGACTCTTGAGAACTCAAAACATGTATTTCCATTGAAAACTCAGATTCGAAAATTTTCACGATCGCAATACTTACCCTTACTATATATTTCATATATAGGTAAGTGAAAGTAAAAAATAAACACATATACTCCACTTCATTATTTTGGCCATACAATTGGTGGAAGTCTTTCATTCCGTTATCACTATAATCAATGAATCAATCAACTGAAAGAGACGCCTCTTATTTCAACATAATTTCGGTTATCACTTCAATCATATCGCTCATCCTCGCTTGAGCAGGAGAGACAAAAAAAAAAAGGAGTTATTATTATTATTTAAATCACATAATTTTAAAAATTAATTTTACTAGTTTAAAATTCTCCATATGTTATACTATAGCGTCGATTCGATTACACGTCTTTCTGACAATCGTGACGTGATAAAACATGTTTACAAAATTTACACTTTCGTCCTTGTGTTACGATATGTGCTTTACAAAAGATACCAAATCACACCACGAATTAGAACTAAATTTACTGCTTATATATTTATAAAATGTTATACACTGACAGGCAAAAAATTCCACCCACTTGATTTTTTCATGTTTTCATCTAAAAATATTTCTGCCACTTGTAAAAAAAAGTTGTATTTGTATATAATACATGGTATTTGTCGATAATACTTAGTATTTATGGAATTTTATAATCTTTTTTACCTTTAATAATCAAAACGTGATTGGGTAAGAAAGATTAGAGAAAATAAAATTGAAAAACGAACCACATTATTATTCTATAACAAATTAATTACATCATCGTTTAGTAGCGCGTGTTTCCTCCTCTTGCCTTCACTACTTCTTGAAGACGCCTCGGCATACTTTCCACCAGTCGGGAAATGTCCCTTTGCTGGAGGATAGCCCATTCCTCCCGAAGAGCCCTTACAAGGTCCTGCAGTATATCAGGAAGTGTTGCACGTACTCTTATTCGTCTTCCGAGGTTATCCCATAAATGCTCAATGGGATTCAAATCTGGAGAACGTGCTGGCCAGGCTAAAACCTCAATATTGTTCTGTTGAAGGAACGTCTGCACTATGCGGGTGATGGGTGGGCGTGCATTATCGTGCATTAGAATAGAACGATCGCCGATTTCGTTGAGGATAAGCAACACACGAGGTTCCAAAATCTCATCTACATAGCGATGGCCGTCAAAGACCCTCCACAAACAACAACCAATTCTGTGCGGCGCTCCATTGAAATTTGAAATCCCAGCCCACACCATTAAAGAACCACTTTGGAAAGGTTGGCTCTGGGAAAAATTACAGGCTGCATATCTTTCGTTTCTTCTTCTCCACACCCTTTTACGCCCGTCTGGAGATCGAAGAGCGAATCTTGACTCATCTGTAAAAAGTACATCACTCCATTCGTCCATAGTCCAATGGCTGTGTTCTCGAGCAAAAGCCAGCCGTATTACTCTGTGAGTTCTGGTCAACTCTGGTCCTCTTACTGAACGAAAAGCCATTAATCCATACTCATTTAATCTTCTCCGAGCGGTACGTTCAGAAATTTGCACACCTAGAACTTCTTCGAGCTAATGAATCGCTTGAAAAACGGTAAGGTGCCGGTTTCGTAAAATTCTCAAAGTCAAAAACCGGTCATCCCGCGGTTCTGTTACCCCAGGCCGTCCAGAACCGGGCCTTCTATTGTAAGAACCAGTTTCCCGAAAACGCCTGACGGCGTCTCGTAAAGTTTCATATGGAACTCCGATGGCACTAGCTGCATATCTAATGGAACGTCCATCGTCAATAAGTGCCACACCACGCGCAACATCCTCAGCACTAAGAGGCATTTTTAAACTTAATATTGAAAAAATTAAAAGCCGGAGACTAAGAAATGTGCTGCAAGAAACGGCAATAAACTAATGATACTGAATAAACATTTTGATTCCATAGAAATTAAACATTGGAATCTAGAATCATTTCATTTAATTAAGGATTAAGGGTTATTGTCCTCTATATTAACATTTCTAATTGAAAACAAACAAAAAGATTACCTATTTATTCATTAAAAATAATAGACCAATCCAAAGCAGAAATATTTTTAGATGAAAACATGAAAAAATCAAGTAGGTGGAATCTTTTGCCTGTCAGTATATGCTCCAAGGACACTAGTTGGAATCCGAATTTCGAATTAAATTTTGCAGGATATTATTGGAAAAAAACAAAAATAAAGGAAATATTTATATTTATATAAAATTTTATTAGCATTTTAAACTTATTATACTATTTTATATATCATACTTCGTGTACATGGTAAATCAACCTTGGTACACCCAGGGCCATTTTGGTGGTTGGCCTCTGAAAGATGGGGGAGATGGAGCAGATGGTGGAGATGGTGGGCTAGGTGGAGATGGTGGGGAAGGAAGAGATGGTGGAGACGGAAGGGAGCTCCTGCCAGAACCGGAAGGTGGTGATGGAAGAGATGGCAGAGATGGCAGAGATGGGAAGTTGATAGCGGACTTGAGGAGCTCCAGGCTGTCGATGGCAGTCTTGACGTAGCTTCGTGCGGTGCTCACCATCTGGCCGGACTTGTAGCTACTGTAGGCTGGAAGCAAAAATTAACTTGTCATTAAAAATAATAATTAAAATATAAATAATTAAAAATAGTAATTCAAAAATAATAAATGTACAGTCCAACTTTAACATGCATACAGCACTGAATAGTATTTTGATTTAGGAAGAAAATTACATCTGTACGTCGGCATTATTAATAAGATTGAACTTTTTCTGTGTATATAAATAAAATTATTACGATTCATGTACATGTATGTACTATGTATTGAATTGGTAAATAAGTCCTTTCGGTTTTTCAAAGTGAAATAAAATACAGATTTTATAAATGAATGCATTACAGACATAGAATTTGTTGTAATCTACAATTTATTACTTTTTTTATTTTAATGTAATTTACAACTGTATTACATTAAAAATACAACAAGTAAATGTGGCATTATTAACATGACATGTACAACATGAAGAGAAACTACCCATTGGTAGAACGGGAATTAAAGTTCTATATTAGAAGGTCACATAAAATTAGAAAATTTTCTTTTCAGACGCCTCGGAGGATTATCAGGGATCGAGGAGGAAGCAAGGTTTGAAATGAGAGGGTTCGGATGGTTCTGCAGTTTGTTATGAAAGGATAGGTATCTGGATTGGGCCAAATCGAAAACATATGGAACATTAAGGTCTTTATGGATGATTTTGTTTGTGAAAAAGTAAGGAGCGTTGAGGATTTTACGAAGGATTTTGGATTGTAAGGATTGGATACGAGAGAAATTCGATGGTTTAGTGGAGCCCCAAAGCTCAACTCCGTAAGTACAAAAAGGTCTTATTATTGTCATATATATGAGTCGTTTGTAATTCATTGAAAGCTTAGAGCGTTTGTCTAGTAAGTGTTAAAGTAGTCGGAAACGCCGAGCGGTTTCTTGTCGTTTCAGTCTTGTATGAGGATTCCATGTGAGTTGTTTGTCAAGTTGGAGTCCTAGGTAACGGATTCGTTCAACTGGGATAAGTGGGGAAATCTACAATTTATTGGTCATTATTTATTATGACCTGCCCCCGTCTTTTACCTATCTGCATATTACCAAGTTCATAGAACGCTTACAGTTCATTGTTTAAAAATTGATTGACATAAATGGTTTTTGATGATCTATTCATTTTGGAATTTCTGTCGATTTATGGAGCTCTGCAAAGACAGGAATAAATCATAGTCGCTTGGAGGTAGGTAAGGAGGTCTCCGCAGTTCGGTAAGGAGTATGGTGTGGAGCCGAAATTTGGCGAGCCAATTTTAATAAATGCATTCGGTTAAGGCGTCGTCCCCATAAACACTGCAACATGTCCGTAACTTGTTGGATAGTTCCACTTCCCTACCCCAGGAGTGACAAAGTATTTGTATATGATGATCTGCGCATACTTTTGAAAACAAACATTATTGCTATTCCCATAAGACATATTCAATTTCACTGTAACTAGAAGACAAATATTGTATGACTGTTAAAAAAAAGTGATTTTCAGATAGATAGAAAAAAACGCTGCAAATTATTTCCAAACAATTATACATATAAAGTAACATTACTTTCCTAGATACAAAGAAAAACGTGGGCGGGTTGGCCAAATGGGCTAATGCGTGTGCACAGTACCGCCGTTTATATCAATCAAATGATATAAAAATAGTCACGAGTTCGCATCCCCGGTGCCGAAGGAGTCTTTTAAATCCCCGCCCACACTCCCTGGCCCGGGAAAACCCCGTTTAACCTTAACGACGAGGAAGGGGAGAACCCCCCCCCCCCCCAAAAAAAAAAAAAATAATAAATAAAATAAAAAAAAATAAAATAAATAAATATAAGGTGACCCCAATTATTGGACTAAACTTTTTTATTAATCATTTTTTAGTAATATGCTAAAAAAACTAGTATTACTTCAGTAACACATTATTATTGGTTTCAAAAACCCAAACAAAGGATATAACCTTTTCAGTAGAACATACAAAAAGAAGAGAGGAACGGAAGGACCCAAAAAAAAAAAAAAAAAAAGGACCATATCTTTGCTCCTAATTGTCTGATGTTAACGATTTGTTTTTTAGTTAATTCCGTAAACTTTTAAAAACCGCAATAAAATAATATAATATACTATCGACAAAAAAGTGTATACTTTTTGAGTTATTCGGAATTTAATTTTACCATCCCTAGTAACTTTTTTTCAGCTTCTTTTCGTTTCGAAACGAGAGTGAAAATTTTCGATTCTGAACAAAATAAATTTTTTAATCTCTCGCACGAACACAATGCTTCACTACCTTCGGTAGTGAGGAAGCAAAATATTTTAAAATCGCGATTAGTGCTTCGATTTCGCTGAAACTTTCTTCATTTTTTAGGAAATTTTAATACCTTTGGAACATCTTATCACAATATTGACAAAAATGTGTATAATTCTTGAATTATTCGGAATTTAATTTTACCACCCCTCTTAACTTTTTTTTAAATTTCTTTTCGTTGAAGTATGTTATATAGATAAATTTAAAGGGCGTAGAGAAACTGACTTTATCGAAGTTTCATTGAAATCGCTATATTCGTTTAGGCGCTATAGTCTATAGCAGCGCAGGTTTTTCGGCCGCCATTTTGAAAGTAAAAGGCGGATAATAATGTCGATGAAGGAGGATCATCCTCAGGTGACCTCTGATTTTATATCCAAATTTGAAAAAAATAGGTCCAGTAGTTTCGGAGAAAATGCGCGGACGGCGTACGGCGGACGGCGGACAGACAAAAAAATTTGTATTCGTTTTTCGAATTCTACGCATCCTGAAACGAGAAACCTCAAATTTTGAGAAGAGGTTAAGTTTTTGAATTTTTTGGTCGATCACAGTGGTTGATTATTGAAAATAATAAACCAAAATATAATTTGTTGAATAATTAACACTTTACAATGCATACTATGAGTAGAACAAGAGGAGAATTCCAATAAAATCCACTCGTTGGTCGATGCCGATCGATAATATCAATTTGCATCGAGTTCTGAGTAAGTGTTTTACTCAAATACTGACCTTTTTTTGAGTATCAAAGAATTTAATTACTACTTCATTTGAAGTCAAGTGATTAACTGAAGTAGTGATTGAATTCTCATTAGTGATTCAGTTTGAGTAAAATATTTGTTACAGGGTACTCAGAATAGCATTTGCCCATCTCTGATCGATATTACTCTCACTGAATTACTTTTTTTTTTCAAAATTCAACCTGTCAGAGTATAATAGTATCAATTAATTTTAAATTTAATAGATAATGAGATTTTTAATAAATTAAATTTGTTAATGCTTTTGTTTAATTTTTTCAAACTGACTGAGAAATATGATCTAGTTAAACAATTCATGAAAATTTTATATTTTTAAAGTGTATTCCGTAAAAATACCGAGATTTTCTAATATGCTCGATTTGGGAATACTTGATTTAGGTATCGAAATATCTTAAAAATTTTAACTATTATATTAATCTATCAATCAAATTTTTACTTCCAATTATTTATTATATATATATATACCTGTATATGAACGAATCAAATTCGTATCTTATCAATGAATTTCTTGCCTTTCTTAAACCGATTTTGTTTTTTAAACTGTTAATTAATAATAAAGTAAAAAAAGACACCCTTTTAAATAATGTCTGTATCTTTTTACTTGTCTAAGCGAAGCGATGTGTTTGGGAGGTCCACCAAAAGCTATGCAACTATTTTTTGAGCGAACATCAGGATCGATTCCTAAGTTTGATGGCTCAAATTATTCGATGAGATCCTCTGAGTATTTTGAAACAATTTGAACAAAAAATACTATTCCGTTATTAAATAAAATGCGTTTAATCAATTTGTAAAAAGCTTTGTAACGCTGTTTTGAGCGAGCGGCTGGATCAATTTTTAAGTTTGATGGCTCAAATTATTCGATGAAATCCTCTGAGTGTTTTGAAACAATTTGAACAAAAAATACTGACCCATCATAAAATAAAATGTGTTTAATTAATTTGCAAAACGTTTTGTAACACTGTTTTAAGCGAACCGCTGGATCGATATTTAAGTTTGATGGCTGAAATTTTTCCGCTAGATCTCGTGAGCGTTTCGAAACAATTTGTGCTCCAAATTCTGGCAAATTAGTGAGTAAAGTGTATTTAGTCAATCTCCTAAAAGGATCGTAATGAGTTTTTGAGCAGATAGCATGGCCGATTTTTAGCTTTGACGGCTGTAATTACTCAGTTAAATTCCGTGATTGTTTTGAAACAATTTGAGCTAAAAATTATGGCAACTTAGTGAGTAAAGTGTATTCAGTCAATTTTCTAAAAGGTATGTAATGAGTTTTTGAGCAGATAGCATGGCCGATTTTTAGCTTTGACGGCTGTGATTACTCAGTTAAAACTCCTGATTGTTTAGAAATAATTTGAGCTTAAAATTCTGGCAACTTAGTGAGTAAAGTATATTTAGTCAATTTCCTAAAAGATTTTTAATGAGTTTTTGAGCAGATAGCATGGGCGATTTTTAGCATAGACGGATGTAATTACTCAGTTAAATCTCGTGATTGTTTTGAAACAATTTGAGCTCAAAATTCTGGCAACTTAGTGAGTAAAGTGTATTCAGTCAATCTCCTAAAAGGTATGTAATGAGTTTTTGAGCAGATAGCATGGCCGATTTTTAGCTTTGACGGCTGTAATTACTCAGTTAAATCTCCTGATTGTTTTGAAATAATTTGAGCTTAAAATTCTGGCAACTTAGTGAGTAAAGTATATTTAGCAAATTTCCTAAAACTAAAAGGTACTTTATGAGTTTTTGAGCAGATAGCATGGGCGATTTTTAGCATAGACGGCTGTAATTACTCAGTTAAATCCCGTGATTGTTTTGAAACAATTTGAGCTCAAAATAATGAGAAAAAAATTTATTATAGTTTAAAGGGGACCCTACACGGTAATTCATGAATGAACGTCACAAGAAGTTCCAAGATTGCCCGCTATCGCTTTGATCATGAAGACCCTTACACGTTCAATCATTA